AGCGCCATTTTGATCATGCTGCACTCACGGAGATTTGGCTTCAAAAAGCGGGCTGCCATCAGCCGCGAGTGCTGATCTAAGATTCCTGAATGTTGTTGTACTCTTGTACACTGCGCTGACGAAGAATGATGATAGAACCTGGTCCTACTCAGATGGTGGTCCGGGCAACTCAGTCTTTCGACGTTCACACTGATTCCGATTTGTCGGCAATGAAAGCTTTGCACCTTCCCTTTCGCTGGCGAAGGTTACGTCAACAGCCCACCAATTGAAGCGTCCATTGCAACTCTGAAATCTCTTAAAATGTATCCATGACGGCAATAAATGAGGGGATGACCGCAAAAGCCCTAGCGCTGCCCGACGATAATTGAAGAGATCATCGAAGTGCCCTCCTGCCGTTGCACTGGCTCTTTGGAACTCGAAAGAAGAGAGTGCACCCTCATTACTCTTCGAAACCGCCGCTGCGGTCGAGGCATACCATGTAACGTCACGCAGAACGCAGACCAAAGCCTTCGCCACATTTAGGAAGGCAAAATACAACAGTCTTTGTTTTCCACGGTTCTTTCAACAGTGACGATCGCGTGTAATGCATCGGCTGCAGTACGCCCCCCGAAACAACAAGGTGTCAGCGACCAATGTCCCGTCTACGCTACTACAACTCGCTTAAAGGTTCTCATGATGTGGAAGAGCAGGCGAATCGGACGCGAGCTCGCAGCAGGCCTCCTGAAGCTGCCTTTTCTTCTTCCAGACAGGGATCGTCGTGCTCTGTTGCCGGCTCCCGGGCAGCTTCTTCTCTGCAACAACCTGGTCGAAGAACTCCGCCAATCATCTGCAGGGTTCCAAGCATTGTATCTCTACAAGTCAGCCGCTAAGTCGTCGGGACCATTTGCTTTGCCTGATTTCATCTTCCTCTTAGCCATGCTGGTCTCCTCCACGGTTATCTTCGGGAGCCGTGCAGTGGAAGAGCACAGGGGATGGTAGGATGAGCAAATTCGGCTGTTGAGATGTTTTTCGTAGTAGTTACGCCATCGCTTCCCAATTCCTTGCGGTCCGTCCCGAGGTGGCATCCGTCCAATAAATGCCTAGAATTTTGCTATACTCCTTGGTCCTGCCGATAAAGGGTGTTTGGAATCCTAAACGCTCAACCATGCGCGACGCGAGTATCTCGCGATATCAACAAAGACTGCTTTGCGGAGTAACGGCCATCCTTGCTTCTTCTACGCTATCGATAGCTCCGCCAGTGTGATTTACCTGTCTTTTGTGAAGAAATACGTGTAGCGCACTTTCCTCTGAACTCTGGTTCCGTCCACAGCCATGTCGCTGTTGATTTTCGCCGTCCAGCCTTTCAGAGCGGCGCAAACCCGGTCACCGCTTCGGTAGCATCTCCAAATTCGTTGACACTTCTTCTTCGACAATCTTACCGCCAGTAATCGAACGCGCGAAACGATCGGCCGCTTCTTTTTCCTTCAGTCGTCACAGCTTAACTCTCGCTAGCCCACACCTTTCGATTAGTTTCGGTTCCGGTGAAGAGACCCTCAACGTACAATTTAGCGGTAACTGTTGTATAGCGACTGTTGAATAATTTTGTTTTCGCATCTGTTACGAGCCCGATCGCGAAATTTGTGTTCTGGTTTACCGCTATAGAAAGAATGAGATGAGAGTCACGTTTTCGAAATTTTTTTGTTCACAATGGCGAGGTTATGCGAGTCTGCATATCAAGAAATTCGCTCGCCATCACTATTACGCTGACCCATATCCAAAACCAGTAAATATCCAACACCACCATGTACAGTTTGCTGCTCCCGTGCGAAAAACATGCCCATTCGGAACGATACGCCTCGAAAAACGATGATTCAATCCGGAACGATCAACATGAAATTCCGCCTCCAAAAATGTCAATACCCATTTCTATTTAAAGCAACTAATTTTCCATTCAGGGCAAACCATTCTAATCTCATCTGAGGTTTGAACCTAGCGCTAGCCCCTCCGGATACGGTCTCATTTCGGAAGTTTAGCCAGGGCGTGAATGAACGCCAATTCCATCGGATCACCCAGTGCGCCATTTAATCCTTAAACAACGCAATCATGAAATTAATGGCAATTATGTAAGATCGTGAAAAAGTATGGCATTTATGTGAAAGATAGTGATAATCCGATGGTCTCATCATGAGTCCTGATCATTGTTTAGTAAATGCATGGAGTATGCAGTGAAAGTATGGCATTTATGTGAAAGATAGTGATCAATCCGATGGTCTGATCATGAGCCCTGATCATTGTTTAGTAAATGCATTGATTGAGGATCAGTCCTATCAACTACTGTTTTATGCGCTATCCTACAGAATTGTAATACAATGCACAATATTTCGACGAGCACTGTATTAGTAATCCAACCTCTCGACTTTTCTCCTTTGCTTGAAAAACCATATACATTATCGTGGACGATGATCAGCAATGAGGAGTTGAATACAACTGGTTCACAATACACCACTCCACAATACACTTCCACGTACAACTTGTAAAAGAAGATGTTTTCAAACAAGTCTCTATGTGGTACCTGATAAAATTGGCAACACGTTTTCAAAGAAAGCGGCTCGTTTTTTGCATTAGTTCTAATTACAAAAGAATTTTTACTCATTTTCGGACATAGATAATCATGAAAGCTTGAAAACACATCACACTGCACTACTAAAACGTAATATAAACTCTTGAAGGAGCTTTGCCTCCCAAAGTCGACATGGTTGAACTATGATATTCTCTCATGGCGCTTATCTTGGTCGAAAGGCAATCGGAGTTCCTTACAGCGTCACACCATGCGGGATCTTCGAGGAGCTTACTCGTGACGTAGTGACCCCGACCAATCTAGCGTGAATTGACACTTCGACAATTCTTACGAATCTTTTGCTGCAATTTCCACTTTTCGAGAGTTTGACAGTTTGCCTTTGCTATCTATCACCCAAAAATTCACGGGATAATACCTACGAGATAAAAAAAATAAAATGCAGCGAAAAAATCTGTATTGAGATAATGATTTTGCGGGACAAGCGGAGAGTGTTTTCGTGAAAAGGGAGAAAATTTGTTGCTTTTTTTGAATTGGAACGTAGTGTTAATTCAGAACTGTGCTCACATGCAAAAAGTTTCTATATGGAGTCTTGTCCAGAAGCATTTCTCATGCTAGTTTTTGAGAACTTTCGGGCTGAAGTATCATTATGCGGAGCAGTGTATATCTGAGATCTTCTCGCAAGTACGCAGGAGGTTTTACCCCTTAATCCTTCAAAATTTTCATGGGTTCGCGGTGTGAAGGTGCGCTCACCACGTCATATTACTGCTTGTTCGATCTCGATACAACTGACTGTTCCACCAATAAATTATAACGGTGTCTACCTATAGGGCGAGCAGTTCGCCGGCAACATGTTTGTCTACAGGGTGGTCCAAAATTATGAGGACCAAGACATTGTGTCGTTAAAAACGCATAGTAGCTTGATGGAACAAACAAACTTCAGGGAAGTGTTTGTAACTCTTATCTCAAAGTAATTCCAGAATAGAATTGAGATCTGCCACCTGCCCCGTTTACACGAGCCTTCAGATGAAGGGGATGGCGCGTGCGGTGGCACGCAACTGAGGCGTGTCAAAATGTTTCCAGGCCTTCTGCTCTGCTTTCTTCAGGGAATCAAAGTTTTGTGGGGCATTTATTTACTTGCTCCAGGGTGTAAAATACAGAAATCTAGAGCTGTTAGGTGGAGGGTTCCATTGTAACAATTCTTCGAGAGCAACAAACTCGAAAAATAGCTTTTTAGAGAATTTTTGCTCTTCGGTCCAGTAAAACGTCCCAAGTATGGTACTCAAGTGGCTTTCTATCCACTACAGATGTGGAGTCTTTAGAGTGTCTGGCTGGGTTTTCACATCAATTTTTTCATTTTGGGAGTACGAAAGTCGACAAGGGGAGACCTAGTTTCTGCATCTGATAATTATCCTGGTGGTAACTGTAACTTTCGAGTCTCCGAATTTTCCATCTGTGGTGGTTCCAAACTTATTGAAGAGTTGAACTGTTGCCCATAAGAGCTTCCTGATACGTTAGACTGCCGCTAGATGTAACGTGCCAGAGCCCTTAGTGAGTTCAATTTGAGGACTGACGTAAGGTGATGTTGTTATTTCACTAGTTTTGAGAACTGCATGAAATTTGGTTTCATTAGGAAGAAGACATTGTACCCTTCACATAGTGCACAGAAAAGGAGATGAAAATGGAGCGACTCGGAAAAAAGTGGATATGACCGCGCGCGCACGCGGTCCTCATAATTTTGGACCACCCTGTAATTATTACCGAAATAAACTGCTTGTAAGTGGCCAGGTTGCGATGAATGCGGAAAAAATCTACGCCTTCTTTGTACCCAGTTCATTTGGCTGATATTAGCGAGAATTTCGAGAACTTGGTATGATGGGGTAGCTGTGCCATTGAATGCGTAATATAATAGAAAACGAAAATAATGTGATGGTGCACGATGGCGCTTACAGTTCTGAAGAACGACATGCGGGCAGCGGTTGTTGTCTGTAGGTACCGTAGGAGGCTGTGTTGAATAATAGGTCAAGGATTGTTTGGTGATGGTAAGATGTGTTTGGACGTTGCTGTAGCTGATATCTCCGTTTTGACCTTTCTGGTTTGAATTCGGCCACAGTTATTTGTATCCATATGTTAACGACCCTGTACGGCATTATTTAGCTCATGAGCGGGTCCGCATCCGGTTATCGTTCGAGATTCCGAAAGCAAAAATGGTCGATCGCCTTTGAATGAATTTGTGCTGTTGTTCTTTGCCTCCTCCTGATCTGGAGGCAACTTTCCAATGAATCCAAAGTAAGTCAGTTGGATTCACTGTAATAGGGGTGCAGGGGGTGCGCGTGACTGGAGACAGTTGGTCATAATTCGAACATTGAAGGTATTTTAATTTGTCACCAACATAGCAGCTTTACATAACATACGTGGCTGATAGGAAAAAAAAAACCAAACTGTCCTAGCGATGTGTCCCATCTTCAAAAAATACGCCTCCGTCGACTGCACAGTATTTAGGGCAAACTCCTCTTTCTCCGGGTCCTCCAGGCATTCCTGGTTGGCCAGGCATTCCTGTACGTCCATCTTCGCCGGGTTCTCCATTAGGTCCCGGAGGTCCTTTAGGGCCCATCATGCCTATAATGGAAATTTAACAACAGGCTAGACAGCTAAAGCTGGACTACGTAGCAGGCAGAAACCAACCTTGTATCCCAGGCATTCCTGAAGTCCGACTCCACGCTGGAGGCTGGTCGGCACCGAGGAGTTCCAGCAGGTCCAGGACTCTCCAGCGAAGCGGAAAGCCTCGCCTGGTGCATCTTCTCCTGGAAGGCCGGGGGGGGCGCCGGGTTGTCCTGCAGCTCCATTAAGACCTGGTAGCCCTGGTATGCCAGGAACACCTGGTGCGCCGTCAGGCCCAGGAAGTCCAGGAGGGCCATTCGCTCCCGTATCTCCTGGGGGTCCTACCACTCCAGGAGATCCCATTGGTCCTGGAGGGCATGGTCGGCACGGAGGTGGTGTAATTTGTTCACAGGGCTGCTGTGGCGGACGTCCTGAGACGCCAGGAACTCCAGGAGCTCCTGGGTTACCGGGACGACCCGGACGCCCAGGAGGTCCCATATTACCCGGCTGTCCAGGTACGCAGCAAGCGTAGCAGTTGAATGAAGCGTATGCAGATCGCCGGAGGCGGCTCTGGTCTTTGGGGTGAAAGCGCGCTACGTGCAGTTCGGTTTCCACTCGGTTCCTTCATATAATGCACTTCCTTTTACGATGTCATTCGCAGATTTCTGAAAATGAAAATGAATCTAAGTGATCGGAGTGTATTATACTTTGAGACTCAAACAGACCTTGCATGATAATGCTTCCTTTGTTCATCCTATACATCACACTATGAGTATAATTGTAGATCATCGGTAAGTGAAATGCAAATGGATAGTAATGCGATGACTGAGAAACTGACCGCCGAGTACGCCACGAAACGATAAGCCTTCAACCCGTTGTTCAAGCTCCATGGGTTTTATATGAGTACGAAATATAACGCGTGGTAAGTGTCGAATCCGACTGACAGATTCTTATATATGAGCAGAGAGGCACCTGTGGAGCCCATCCCTCACTGCTTTACCAGATCTTCGTCGTTAATGAGGTCGTAGAGCTGAAACAAAAAACAGCACAACAGTAGTATCCACGCACGTCAATTGTGACCTCTACTCGAGAACCGGTTCTTTTTCATAAGCTTTGCATCTCAAGCAAGAACAGCGCGAAGATTTCTGAGATGTCTGGTGTCTTCACTCACAACGGTCCTTCGACCTGTCAGCGGGATGCCCGCAGGCTGCGTAATACGAGCACGAAACATACGCTTAAAGGACGCTTGCTATTGTGGCTCTGCAGCTATTCCTAGCACTCTAGGAATCAAGTCGGCAAACACCTGTTTCCTTCTTTCTTTGTCATATAGTCAGACCAGAAATTTAATGGATACGTATCTGACGACCGAACCGCTCTTTCCGGGTTGAAAATGGCCTTCAAGCGAATGCAGAAATATAGTGAACTCGAGAAGTGAAGGCCTCTATCTAAGCAAGGAGAGTGGACTGGAGTGACCTTTGGAATGAATATTATAGCACCCATTGCACCTCAAAACAGTGATTTCGAATCTGCAATTTGGAAAAATATGATAAGAGAAAAGAATCCAAGTCGGGGGGTTTGGATCCACTCGCGTATCTTGCTTTGTTTTTTTTTTCGTAAAACGTTGACGTGCACGAATCAGAACTTCATGGAATTACATACTTATTCAGGAGAAACTTGATTTTTACTGCACCATCTATGGTATGCCAGTTTAGCTCCGTTCGTTACCGCGCGCATGTCAACGCAGACTTCAGTGAAAACAGGGTGAATATCGGTCGAGGAAATCCTCGGCGAAAACAGCAGATTAGCAGAAAACAAGGATATGTGAGAAAACATGAGATAAAATATTCTTTGCAGGTCCAGTCGCTCCATTCCTTTACCTTTATGAGAAGGACGTATTTGAAAGCAGTACAAGGAATGAAAGTGCATCTCCGCAATGTGTACACGTGCTGTAGAGGCACCTCCTTTATCTAGGCCCGCTCTCTCGCCCTTAATACCTCGTTGAAAATGAGGCAGTTGTTAGGGAGCTGTCGCAAACCGGCAAGAGTTCTGGAAAGACCATGGGCGAATGAAGCTTCCTTAGGTTACGGGAGTTACGAAATGTGTTTACTACAATACAGTTTCTGTCAACAGGTCATCATCATATGTGTAACACCTTTCAATAGATTCTACAACTTGAGTGGAGGTCGGATGCATGGCCTATACTGAGACGAGATCGGACGATGACGATTGCCCCTTTTCTTGTCGCTTATGTTGGGAAGAATTTATTCTAGACACATTTCGAGCGTTGCCAACGAATTACACTTGCAATGGTGAAGGAGCGGCTTTTAGCGGCCGAGAATCATCCTCGATAGATCCTCGACGCAAATATCTCCTCAACTAAGAATGTAGAAGGAAGCTAAACATACTGTTAGAAAGCGCAAACCTTCCGCTTTCCAAAACTGTCTTCGCTTTTGAAGATCTTGCGAAATTAGAGAGATATTGCCTTTTAAGTGGCAAAAACTCGCATGAAAATTCCGCATCCTCGACGCTCCCTCGACAAAATTTGAGAGACCCTATCTCTTCGAGTGTAAAGCTTTTAGATCAATTTCAATATTGCCCGGTAGTAGCAAATCCAGCTCTATCTAACCCTACCACATACTGCTCCAAAACTTATGAAATGGAACGAAACCGTT